TATTATTATTATTTGATAATTAATACAACCTCCTTTTAATTAATCAGAAGAATTTTGAAGATAGAATTCTAGAAAAATAAACTAAAGCTTGTACCAATAATTTGTTTTGTAGATTTTGAAATAATAATAATATAGCCTGCATTAAAGTTATAAATAAATCAAAACACTTATAAGTTGTTTGATACACGGTAGGTGTATTTTTTTTTTTTTTTTTTTTATAATCAGGAGGTTTAATCTCCTCGAACCGTAAATCATAAAGGTTTTTAACTCTAGCTCTTCTATCAAAGTACGTTCTCTTACGGAGATTAAGGTTGCTAACCACCTCAATCAACAGTTTGTTAGTGGACTCGCGTTTTTAATAATTTTGTTATATACTTTTATAATTCTTATCACAATTCAAGTTAGCCCCTAATTAATCTTATAACATGTATAAAAAAATTATATATCAAAATTGTATAATTACAGAAAAGTGTGAGATAGAGCTTTCTTCATTGTTTATTTCTTGATAATGGATGCTCGGTCAAACCTAAGGATAAGACAGTGAGTAATGAATTGATTGTATTAGCAGAAATATAATATATTAATTAGTCTTAATTATTTTTTTATTGAACATCTTTTTCATGTGTGACTTTGATCATAATTTAATATCTCCCCTATTAAAAAAAAAAAAAAAGGTTAGTTATAGAATTAGAAGGAAGGGTGTTTTTCATCTACAGTACATACATTGATTAATTAACTTCAGCAGTTATATGGAAAATGACCTGCCTTCTTTTCACTCCAAGGTCAAAAATCTTATCTAACCTTTTTATTTATTATACATTTTCACCGCTTGCAATTGTTTTTGGCATAAAATATTTTAAAATATATATGAGACTAATAAAGTTTGAATAAATAATAAAATATTACATCTACCTATTTCAATTTTAATTTGAAGCTTCTGAAAATTCTGATTTGAATGTATTATTTACTTTCAATTCAATGATTTTTTTTTTAAAATAATGAATAATTGATTTTTCTCTTTTTAGTCTAGTTGGACTAATTGGAAACTTCAAAGATAAATTTGAGATTTTAACCATAAATACTTTCTAATATTTTAATTAATTTCTAAACATTTATTTTCCTATATCTAATCCAATATACCTTCATATTAATTATTTTCAATTATTTTTTCACAGTGATTTTTTTCTTATTTTTTGTTGTTTTTCAAATCTCTGAGTTTTGATTGCATTATGCAAATTTTTTTATTTTCTTTATTTATTTCTTTATTTGTATGTATGTGTGTGTTATTATATATATTACAATCTCAACTTTAATTCAGATATATCATTGCCTCTTCTTCGACCGAGCTAATATTTATTCTTTGAAATCTTTTTTCCTTTCTTCCTTTTATTTTTTTTTATTTTTGCAATTTTTATGCTCTTCTTTTTTTTTTTTTTTTTTTTTTACTGTGGCTTCTCTTCTCTTTAATCTTTATTTTTTTTTGTTATCTGTTATCAATCGTATGTGTCGTATGTAAGTGCAGGTACGAGAAATATCATATTGATGGAGATGAAGAGAAAACAAATACTAACTATAAATCCATTTACGTATTTTTTTAACTGTATTATATTTTTAGCAAATAGTATTTGAGTATGATATGATTTAAGTATTTGAGTTTTGACAGAGTTTCATTAAAATTGGAGAGAAAAATATAAGTATAACCTATACTTATTTATTTATTTATTTATTTATTATTATTATTATTATGTCATTTACATTAGTTATATATATAACAAGTGAATATTTACATTATTGATTTAAGAGGGAAAAATACCTCATAGTTAAAATAAAATTCTTATCATTTAAATCTTATTATCATTTATAACTAATAATTATGTTTTTAAAATTAATATTTATCTACAATAATTATCTATCTCTATATTTCGGTTTTGTATTTCCATTTTTTCTTTTTTATTAAATCATTTAAGATAGTTTTTTAAGTTTAAAAATTATTTTTTTAAAATTGATTATATTTATATTTGAATATTTAATTTTTTTAAGTTTTAGATTGGATTGTTTAATTTTTGTGTCCATTTATTGATAGTTGTTATCTATTTTTACATTTATATATCTCTATTTATAGATGACATTTTTCTATGTTTCAAATTTAGTTAATAGTGGTAGCCCTTACTTTTCATTTTCTTCTAACAGATCTGCCTTTTTTTTTTTTTTTTTTTTTTTTTTTTTTTTTTTTTTTTTTTTTTTTTTTTTTTTTTTTTTTTTATTAATAGAGCCTGGTAATGCAATATGTTCCTCCATTGGTGCTATTAATAGTGGCATGAACTGATCCATTTACATCATATATAACAAATTTTTGGAAAAGCAAATCAAACATAGAAGATTTGATGAAGTTATTTATCGTCCAAATCAATTAAAGGACCAGTTACTACTATGAAGATTTATATTGGTTAAAGTTATCTTCAAGCGGATAAATGCAATATTCTTTGTTTTAATCTTAGTTTTATTATTATAGACAATTCTTTTGATCTGTTAAACGATTAGTAAACTCTCTATTAATTATGATAGTAAGTTCTATATCTGATCTAATTGAGTATTTGTAATACTTAATTTTATTATTAATTAATTATATTTCTCAAAAAAAAAAATCTAGGGCTTTTATATTGTATGCATTTACCTTATTTTTATATATATCTTATAATTTTTTATTTGCTTCTTTTATTTCTTTTAAATTGGAGAATTTTTTTTATAAATATTTATTTTTATATATACAATAAAAAGGTAACATCTAATATAATGTATAATAGCTAAGTAATAAAGCAACCGCGCAATGCGCGAGCGTCTACTTAGTTCCAAAGAAAATGTTTTCTTGAAAATTATTTTTTCAAATGACTTATTTTCTGTTGTTTGGTTATAATATTGAAAATTAGTTAAAAATATTAAAATTTTTAACTCATAAGACCATAAAATATTAGTAATAATAGAAATTTCTTATTTTAAAATTTTATTATTAAACATGATAAGAATGCAAAAAAAAAAAAAAAAAAAAAAAAAAAAAAGAAAAGTAAATTATGAAAATCGTTGGTAACAGGTGGTCGGTGTTTAAAAAAAAAAAAAAAAAAAAGAAAAGTAAATTATGAAAATCGTTGGTAACAGGTGGTGGTGGTTGGTGGTAGTCGCTACCAATTAATAAATTTAAAAATTTGAATATATAAGATTATAATAAGTTTCTCAATGTCCGGAAATGTTTTATTCTCTTGAAAATGAGAACTTAATTTCATTTGACTAAAAAAATATTTCCATTGACTTATTTCCCTTAATACCCTAAATAACGGAAAAATTGTAGAAAATATTTTCTTGAAAGTTATTTTACGAATACAAATGAAGCCCAAATTAGAGAAATTGTCTTTCGATAGAATACAAGAAATTTAAATTGTCATATTATTAATAAAAGGAAGATTACTGTTTTGTTCTTATATTTTGTCAAAATACATCACTTTGCTCCTGTATTTTGTGTTAAAAAATTGACAGTAAGAACCAAATAAAAGAAACAAACTGCAATTCAATGAAATATGACGAGCAACTCAACAACAAAGAAAATTGCAATTCAATGAAATATGAGAAGCAACTCAACAACAAAGAAAATTACAAAACTAGAAAAGAGAATTTAAAGTAGCCAGTAGGCAGGGATGACGCCAGGATTTTAATATAAGGGGGAAAATTTTTGGCTCATAAGTCAAATGGGGCAAAGTGATTTGTGAATGTTGGAAGGAGTTGAGTTTATGGATTGAAGGATGCTGAATTTTTGGGTTGTTCTTTGAGAGGAAACAACACGTATGCATCGAGTAATCAATCATCCATGTTTCTTTTGCAATATACTCCAACTCATTGAAGCTCTTGTGGAGCAGCTAAGAGTTTCCTGAACCAATATTTGCAATTCTCAATAAATATATTAGCATAAATAGGAATGAAGAATTTAAGCAAAACCAGAAGAATTTTTTTTTAAAGAAAAAATCAAAGTAGAAATTTCATTAAGAAAAAATATTTATTTCATTGAGATATAAATAAATATGTTTCTATATTTTTTATAAGAAGTCTAATAATAAACCACTTATATGAATACAAAAATAAAATCTTAATTTGAAGTATTTCATCGAGTTAACAGAGCATAATATTTGTGTCATAAGCGATCGTTTGCTCCACTTGGTAGCTATTCATGTCCACTGTTCGACTTCATGGTCTTTCTATAAGTCTGATCTGATTACCTTTAAATTTATTCTTTCTATTAGAGAAAAGATTCGCACTTCTTTCTGTATAACTATCTAAATAACAAAAGATACTAGACAAAATCACCACAATGGCAATAATAATAACTCAGGACTAAATCTGAGAACAAAATTTGAAGATATGAGCAACAATAAATCATAATATTAATGCGACAATAACTCAGAATTGTATAAAAATTTAAGGATTATTTAAAAACAAAAAAAGAAACGGCGGGTGAGAGTTCACCGATGGTCGCACGTGGAAGAAGAAAAATAAACTTTTAGGATTTTAGGTTAGGGGAGAAAGAGTATTTGATCAAAGTTAACATCTCATGACTAATTAATTCAGAAAGCAGAATTTGTTTTGGCTTTTATCGTGTTTTCAATCTGTTTAACAAGTTCGTATTTATAATGAACTAAATAGCTACAAATAAGGAAGAAATCAGTGAAAAATAAGCCATTAAATAAAACATTACGGTTATCATTTCCCCACATGATTAAAAAATAACCAAAAAAAAAAAAAAAGATCATGTTCTACTATGTAATTGTTGTTAGGTCTGAACCAACACTTAGTGCTAGCAGGTTTCAATATGAAAGAATATAGTAACATAAACTTTGGTTCTTAAGGTTGACCCTCGAAATGCCAGTGCAGATTGGGTTGGGCCTCCCACATAATTCACAGGCCTAGATGTTTAAACCATTTCAAAATTAAGCCCAGCCCAACTAGTCAAAGCTGGAAACCTAATCCATTAACCCAGTCTATATAAATGCCAATAAACCCTAACCATTTTAGGGTTTCATATCCAGTAGAGGAAGAGAGAGCAGCCGCCGTTGCTGAAGCTCAGAGGAAGAAAGCGAAATGGGTAACGAACGAAACTGAACTATTGGAAATGAGTCCTTTTGATTCTCTTTGCTTCTGATTTTTTAAACTTTGATTGATCGATTGATTGCAGCGAGAATCAAGGTCCACGAGCTTAGACAGAAATCCAAGACGGAGCTTTTGAATCAATTGAAGGATCTCAAAGCTGAGCTCGCTCTCCTACGCGTCGCTAAGGTCACCGGCGGTGCTCCTAACAAGCTTTCCAAGATGTACTCTCTCTCTCCCTCTCTCTAAATATTTGCATTATATTCAAATGATTCATGATCTGGTGATGTGTATATTAATTTCTTTTTTATGATTTAGTTCCAAAATTCTTGTTAAGGTTTTTTGAAGAGGGATTGTGTATTTGATGTTTTGATTTAGTGGATACAATGGAGTTTTTTACGCTTACATAATAATTTTGTTTTGGGTATTGGGTTGGATGCAGCAAGGTGGTGAGGTTGTCAATTGCACAGGTCTTGACTGTGATTTCACAGAAGCAGAAGGCTGCATTGAGGGACGCATACAAGAACAAGAAGTTCTTGCCACTTGATCTGCGTCCGAAGAAGACAAGAGCCATCCGCAGGAGGCTTACCAAACACCAGGTATTGCTTTGCTTCTATTATGTTGCACTTCATTTAAAAGGAGTATTGAAGTATTGTTAGTTTTGCTATTGTTATATTGCTGAGATAAAGGACTATTGAAATCTTCAGCTGTATATTATGGTTCATTTGTTTCATTAGTCTTTGAATTTGGTGTATGCTTACTTGTTAGGTGATTTGCTAATAGGCACTGAACTATTGCTTTCTTTTTAGCAAGTAAAGATTATATTGTTTCGGTGATGGAGCATTTATACTATGCTAATTCCACTTATTTGGTACTTCCAAAATCATTTTACAAAGTTAAAGAAATGTAAAAGAAATACAATTTTGGGTACAGTAGTCAATATTGTATTTTTCTTTTGTTTATTTTTGGTATACTGTTGTGCGTTCTATTTATCTTTAGTTTGTAAATTGATTCTGAAGTTTGATCTTTATTTGATGTTGTAGCATTATGTTTTATGAACTTTTGCAATGTCTACAGAGCTGTTAATATACTGCTTTTTAGTTTTTAAAGTTTTCTATTTAAAATATTTTCCGAATGGGTCCCTAGTCCATGACATTGTGTGAATTTAATTTTTTTTTCCCTCTATTTGCTGCCCTTGGCCTAAATTTTTTTTATTTTTTATTTTTTGCAGCAATCGTTGAAGACAGAACGTGAGAAGAAGAGAGAAATGTACTTCCCCATGAGAAAGTATGCTATCAAGGTGTAGGGCAATTTTTGCTAAATAGATTGGTTTTGGTATCTTGCAATTATAAACCCATTTGGTTGTCAAGTTTTGTCTTGGATTATCTTTTTGATGTGCTTGTGAACTAGAGTTGGCTTTGTTGAATCTTATGTCTGTAATCTTGGAAGGGTGTATCTCACTCTAACCGGGTGCTAGATTTACTTGGAATTATAGCTGCAGAAACTTCTTTTCATTTTTCTTCAAGCTTAGCATTATCTTTCGTTTTCCTTTTAACAAGAGCTTTTATGTTTCCTTCGAGTCTGAGCATTAGTATCTTCGTAGTATGATTTTCTTTTCTGCCTGATGAATTAAGTTTTGTTCATTGACTAGCATGCTATGATCCTCCGGTGTCCTTGTATAATAATATTATACTGATTCTTGATAAAGTTATGATGATGTCTAAACTATGAATGAGTATGCTATTAATGAGTGAGAATTTTTTTATTTGTTTATAAAGTGTGCTTTTGGATGATAACAAATATTAGTACCGAACATTCGAAGGTTGTGATTATCTCGGCTAACGGAATGGATTATCATCCTTAACGTAGGGTTTGTTTGTTCTGATGGATTTATCTGAGCTTTGGGCCTATAGAAGGAAAACTATGATTACGTCTATCCCATGTGTGTTGAAATGCTACTGCTCTGTCCCATTTGTGTGTTGAAATACAACTATTCTCCCATATTTTCATTTCGTCCTAGCTCTTAGTCCTTTGGTCTAATTTTATTTTAAAATTTCGTTCTTTAAAAATGAAAAGAGGGTCAAAAGGGAATGAAATAATCCAAAAAGTACTCTCTTATCTTTTTCTATTAAACAAATAAGAACAAAAACTAAACATAATTTCATAAGTTTTTACATTAAAGAATTTATTAGCATAAATCACGTAAAAAACTTTATAACCCTTAATTTTTATGTTAGTCTATTAAGCACTTGAACGAAAAAAACCTTGTATAACCTTCATTTTTCGCATTTTCTTTTGGAGGGAAACATCAAGAAGCAAATTAGAAAGAAGATAGAAGTCTTAATTTGGGAGGAGAGAGAATTGCATTTGGATATTGAGAAAAAATTGCGTCTTTCAAGACACGTGGAATTAAAAAATAAGTTAATTTATTTTTGTCACATTAACTTTTTCGGTGTTTTTTATCACGAGTAAGCATGGAGCGGTGTGTGTATTTTAGGATACCTATCCTGCTCTTATCCGTTTTAAAAGGACCGCTCCAATTCATTTAAAAAGGACGTAAGTAGTTATAAATGAATTTAAGACATATATGAATAAAAGAAATTACTATGTTACACCTAATATGTGGAAGTATAGACGTAATTTCATAGTCATTCGGTAGGCTACAGTTATAGGCCTTCGGGTATCCGCTACTCGTTATCCACTATGTTAAATGGATTTGAAAATAGGTACTCGCAGGTATTATATTCACTAATAATAAAAATTGTATTTTAAATAAGTGTGGATTTGAATAGTTTTAGATTCGCGGGTACTTTATCCATATAAGGATACTTTAAATGGGTTTTGGATGATTATGGTATTAAAAATTTTAACGGTTTTAAATATGAGTATTTAAATAGATATTTAAATTGGTTTGGAATGGGTACGGATAGTAAAATTTTAAATGTATATGAGTTTGAATAGTTTAAAATTCACGGGTACTTGTCCTGCTTCCATCCCTAATCATAGGATTATGGTTAAAGGGAGTTTAAAATTATGAAATTGAAGTTAGGGAGTTTTAAGTGACAAACTAAAGTTTTGGGACAATAAAGTAATTATCCTTAAGATGAGGAATAACCAGTGAAAATAAGCCTTTCCAACTTCATGTGTGGATTTTGATATTTTTGCGAAGTGTAGTCTCTTCTCTTTAATAACCAAAACAAAGAATCTCATAGGTTAATTCCTTTAAATAGAATTGCTTACGGTTATTTAACAATTGTAGATAATTACTTGGTAATTTTTTTGAGCATTTCCATCGTGATGTTTCATATGCCTATTGATTTTAGTCCAACTGATTTTCAGGTAGATAAAAAAAAAAAAAAAAAAAAAAGTAAACCAGAAACAAAGAATCTCATAGGTTGATCCTTTAAATAGAATTGCTTACGTAGATTTACATTGTTAGATAATTACTTGGTAATTTTTTTGACGCATATTCTCGTGAATGTTTTTTTTCATATGCCTATTGATTTAAGTCCAACTTGATTTTTCAAGGGTGAAATAAAAAAAAAAAAAAAAAAAAAAAAAAAAAAAGGTCCCTTAGTAAATGTATTAAAAGGAAAATTGTTGCTTCATCCCTGACATTTCTATAAGTCAACTTTTTAGTCCTTGTATTTTGAAGAATGGACTAAAACATCTTTGATCTATGCATTAGTTGCCAAATAGTCTTTGAGCATTTTTTTGCTGTGAGGTTTTAATTAAACCATTTAAAATTAAATTAAACCACCTTAATAACAAATCCTAAATCAATAGTTTATTTTAGCAAGACAAGTTGCACCAACCTAACAAAATAAATTACTGCTACATAATAATTATAATGGTGTTTAATTATAATTAGCGCTTAAATTATTTTCATAATATAAATCACAAATGAAACCGCATCAAATCACTTTATTGCAATTTAATTTGATTTGGTTTCATTGGTTAAATGATTGGATCTATATAAACTGAAATTTGTGGTTTGGTTTGTAAGCGCTCTCTTCAAAAACGATATCTTCTCTTTAAAATACTCATGTTCAGTGCTGAAATTATTCATAGATTCAACAGTCTCATTCTTCATGATCTTCAATTCAACTCCCGCTGAGAGGCCAAGAAGCCGGTATTTATTGCATTTTATTCTCAAACCGATTCTTGTAAATAGGTTTGAGAAAGCTGGTATTCTCTCCGTTGTATTTTTAGTAGCAACAAATGAGCATTTTATTTTATTTCATTTTCAATGCTCATTTAATATTTTAAATATATATATATATATTTTTTCAATTTTACTCATATTTATTAAGTGTTTTATAATAAAATTAAATAAAAAACTTCTAATTTTAAGAACCACAATTTAAATATTTTATCATATATTTTTTTAAAATAAACGTGTTTTAATAATTTTCTTAGTCACGCGAAACTTCTCACCAAAAAGGGGGCAATAGAAAGGAGGCGAACCGCTTCTAGAGTGCAAGCTTGTCCTTTACCACTTGTCAGTAAATGGTCAAGTCAAAGTCCTTTGATAAATGAAAGGCGGGGATTGTTTGTTAAAATTCAGACATTTCTCCCCTCGATGGTGTGATAAGTGAGCCTCTTTTCAATAATTCCATTCCCACGCAACTGGCTTTGGTTTCCGGCTGTCTGCCTTTACAAAATCTAATTATGCTAAAAATTTCCTTTATTTATCGACTGAGTTTTGGAAACGAGTGATTATTTAATTAATATAAATATCATTTAATTATAAAAAAAGAAGAGAAATTATCAAATTCTGTGTTTAATTATTTACGTTACTTCAAGATTCTCCGTTTGGGAAAAAATAAAAAGAGAAAAAATATAGTACAATTTTAGTAGAAGAAAGAACGATTACTTTAAGATATGAAGTCTTATATTAGATATGAAACTATTGTTTGATGAAGTTATTTATAACACGTAGCGGAAATACATAAATTGATCTTTGAATTTTATTACTTTAATTTTGTGGCATTCTCAATTTTTACTTTGATCTATCAAACACTTCAATTTATAAAACTATATCTATTAAACATTTTAATTTTCAAAATTATTTTATTGAACATTTCCACTTGTAAAATTAGATCAATTAAACACTCACATATTTAATTTTCAAAAATTATTTTAAGTTGAACATTTCTCACTTGTAAAATTTAGATCAATTAAACATCATTAAAAAAGTTAAAATTTGAAAATTAACGTTTTAAAAGTCATGCTAACTACGTACAGTCGATATTTCTTATAATGTAAAGACATGAATAACATAATTTGACACTGTTTAGGTCCTCTTTCGTTTTAACAGTCAAATGATGTAACAAAAAAAAAAAAAAAGGAAAATACTTCAACGACATGTTCCTTCAACATTAAAAAAAAAAAAAAAAAAAAGGAAAATACTTCAAGACATTTTTCTTCAACATTTAAAACTTATTCGAACAATAATCTATATATTTATATGAAAACTGAAACAAAGAGAATATTTAATACGTTCTTCCCTTTCAAACTTTTAATTTTCTTTTTTTAAATATTTTATTTTATTTTTCTAATATTTTGAATGGACCATTTAAAATCTAAAACTTGATATCTATGATAATATATAAACACACGCGCAAAGCGCGAGGCTACGACTATTTTCAACATTAATACGTACCAAGCACATAACATCAACAAGCCTTTAAGGCTCTAGATATCAACATTTGTCTGTATATATATATATATAAACTTAACTCTTTAAATTTTATAGTAGTATATATGCTCTTAAATTTACAAGTTTTGGTAATATTATACACATCTCTACATTAGTAACAATAATTTTTAAGATTTCTATTTTATGCACCTAAAATATTAATGTAATATGTGGTTAGTTAGTATAATTCTCGGAACAATAATTAACTTCTTTTAACTGTTTATTAAATAATTAATCAATCTAATTTTACCAGTTCCGGGGATAAGCTAGGCTTTATTTCAATGCAATTGCCATGTCAATATCAAAATGCAAGTGATGAAGAATAAAAAAAAAAAAAAAGAAAAAAAATGAATTTTGGCCTATCCTCCTAAGCGTTATTAACTTCTTTGTAATCAAATTAGAAAATGCAAATATACCTTTAAAACTAGACCATTATACAGATGAATCAAAGCCTTCTAGAGTTGAGACCGGAGACCATGGAGGATACAATTTTCCTCGAAAATCACAAGCGATAGATTTATATATTAAATAGAAAATAAATATATGTGTTCAAGAAACATGTCAGAAATTTCATAGTTGAAATGGGGTAGGTAAGCATATCAAGTAAATTTCCCTCTCTGCAGTCTGCACTAATCCTTTGAATATCATCTTCATCATAATATAATAAAATTGACAAAAATAAATAGAAAAACAAAGTCTACGTACCATGTAAACAATCCCTTTCTTCTAGACAGATATGCACCAACTGAGCAAGTCAATGAATCTTGGTCTAGTAGTGCTTAAAGCAAATCCACCTTCCCCAAATCGACACTCAGTAATGTCCCTTCTCTATATAATATAATCACTCCCTGTCTTCCTCTCTTCAGAATGAACACTCCAAAATAAAAGCAAATGCGTCTAACAGAGACTCCCAGGAGTAATATCAACACATTTATGGCGAAAAAACGGATGTCAACTCTCTTCTTCTCATCCTCCAAAATTCTTTCATCTTCTAATTCGTTTCCAAGCTCTTCTATTCCTTCACCTACTGTATACAAATTCACTAAGTCCATGATGGAAGAGAACATTGAAAATGCAGAGTTAATCATCAGAAAATGGGATCCAAACTCCTCATCAACCTCCCTCTTCCAACACAGAGACGAAGCAAGAGAATTCTTAAAAAGTGTCAAACGTCTTCGCCAAGCAATGCACTTTTTAGTATCAGAACATTCAGCCTCTAATAAGCTTGTACTTGCTCAAAACCTTATGATAATTGCCATGAAAAGACTTGAAAAAGAATTGTATCTGATACTCTCATTGCAGCGTGATCAACTTGACCCTGAGTCTGTTTCAGGTCTATCCTCAGATGGCTGGAGCAATCTTGAAAGCAAAGAAGAGAAAGGTTCTGAAGAAGAGATCACTACGATGTCTGATCTGAAGTCAGTAGTCGATTGTATGATAAGTTCTGGGTACAGTAAAGAGTGCGTCAAAGTGTACAAATTAATCAGAAAATCGATAGTAGATGAAGGACTATACCTGCTTGGAGTTGAAAGGTTCAGGATTTCTCAAATTCGAAAAATGAATTGGGAAGCTCTTGAATATCTGATAAAGAACTGGCTCAATGCAGTAAAAATTGCAGTGAAAACATTATTTACTGCAGAATCTGATAAAGAACTGGCTCAATGCAGTAAAAATTGCAGTGAAAACATTATTTACTGCAGAAAAATCTCTCTGCTATTACGTTTTTTCTGCATCTCAGACAATTAGAGAATCATGCTTCACTGAGATTACTGAAGAAAGTGCAACAAATTTATTCAGATTTCCTGAACTCATTTCCATGTGCAAGAAATCACCAGAAAGAATTTTCCCATTAATGGAACTCCATGAAGGACTCTCTAGTCTTTGGGCAGAAATTGAATCAACATTCAACTCTGAATCAACTTCAGCAATTAGATTACAAGCCATTTCATCACTGCTCAGGCTCCGCGACTCAGTCTGTGCTATTCTATCTGATTTTGAATCAACGATTCAAAAGGACTCATCAAAAACTCTAGCTGTTGGTGGTGGGATTCACACGTTGACTCGAACTGCAATGAACTACATTTCTTCACTTACAGATCATAGAACGACTCTATCTGATATTTTTGCAGATTCTTTCCCAACAGGGAATCATGCATCATTGCCTGAATCTTATTTTGAGAGTCCTCCAATGTCTGATGATGGTTCTACACCAGCTGTCTCAGTTTGCCTGGCTCGGCTCATACTAGTTCTTCTATGCAAGCTTGATCGCAAAGCAGAAGCATATAAAGATGTGTCTTTATCATATCTGTTCATGGCAAACAATCTTCAATTCATTATCCAAATGGTGACCACAACTCGCCTTAGAAACCTTCTAGGTGAGGATTGGGTTTTGAAACATGCCAAGAAAGTTAGAAAATATGCGTCCAACTATGAAACAATGGCTTGGACTAAAGTCTTCTTATCTCTACCAGACAAAAATTTCCCAGATTTACAACCTGCAGCAGCGAAGGAATGTTTTCGAAGGTTCAATGCAGCTTTTGAAGAAGAATATAAAAAACAAACGTCATGGATTGTATCAGATGGGAAGTTAAGAGATGAATTGAAGGTATCAATAGCAAAGAAACTTGTACCAGCTTATAGAGAATTTTATGACAATTATTTGGTGTTACTGGATGGACAAAAGAATTTGGAAATGTTGATAAGGTTTTGTCCAGATGATTTGGACAACTACCTATCTGATCTATTTCATGGTGTTGCAATTTCAGATAGTTCATCATCACCATCATCATCATCACCACGAGGATGTATGCCAAGGTGAAATGATAGAGAAACATTATTGTAAATGCAAGGTATATATGTAATTAATATATATCACATATCAATATAAGTTCACTTATAGCAGTATTAAAACAAGAGAAAATTATTATTTAGTCCCTCAGTTTTTACATAATTATCCAATTAATCCCAAGTTTTGCACAAATATCTAACTAATCCCTCAGGTTTAACTCCGTCTAATTAAAAGGTCCTTCGGTCTGAAAAGTTGATTTTTTTCCTTTAATTATAGACTAAAAGACTAAAACGCCCATCAGATGACGACGTGGACCAGATTTTTTCTTCGACTCAGTTGGGTTTCCGTATCTGCGAGGCAAGAAAACACCAGTCCCTGCACATTCTTTTTTAACACCAGATCCACCAAGAAAAACTCGCAGCAAACTCCTCTGTTTCTGTTCTGCATCTGCTGTTGCTGGTGGTGGTGCTGAGGTTGAAGGAGTTGGTGCTGCTGCAGAGAGTGGTGGTGCTGGGGTTGTCTCTGGGCTAGTGGATGCGCGCATCTTCCATGTTCGCAGCAAACTCCTCTGTTTCTGTTCTGCATCTGCTGTTGCTGGTGGTGGTGCTGAGGTTGAAGGAGTTGGTGCTGCTGCAGAGAGTGGTGGTGCTGGGGTTGTCTCTGGGCTAGTGGATGCGCGCATCTTCCATGTTCGCAGCAAACTCCTCTGTTTCTGTTCTGCATCTGCTGTTGCTGGTGGTGGTGCTGAGGTTGAAGGAGTTGGTGCTGCTGCAGAGAGTGGTGGTGCTGGGGTTGTCTCTGGGCTTGCCAGCCTACTTTCACTTGCTGTTTGCCCCAAATAGAAGGACTCGTATGGTTTATTATTTTACCTTTGCAGTCTTTTTTATTATTGGAGTATCAATTTGTATCCATTCAGTTGTAAATTGTGATGATAAGGTGAATTTCTTTTCTTTGGATTTTTGTTTCGTACGTGAAGCAAATGCCATTGGCAGCTTCCATTATAAGTTGTGGTTAGGTGAATATCTTCGGTTGTCACTTAAGAAATGACAATTCTTTACCAAGAATAGGAAATATTAATTTTAATTTTTTTTAAGTTTTAAATCCGTAATTATTATGATATAAAATTTATATTTTATAAATTTATAAATTTACCAAGAATAGGAAATATTAATTTTAATTTTTTTTAAGTTTTAAATCCGTAATTATTATGATATAAAATTTATATTTTATAAATTTATAAGTCAACTTAAGTCAACTGGTGGAATATTTATATTTTATAAATTTATAAGTCAACTGGTGGGAATTTTCTTAATGAGATATTGGACAATGAATCAATGAATAAGTATGGTCCACGTCAGCTAGGGAGGGGTGTTTTAGTCTTTTAGTCTATAATTAACGGAAAAAAATCAATTTTTCAGACGAAAGGATCTTTTAATTAGATGAAGTTAAACCTGAAGGACTAATTAGATATTTGTGTAAAACTTGAGATTAATTGGATAATTATGTAAAAACTGAGGGACTAAATAATAATTTTCCCTTAAAACAATTGTAGTTCTTTATGGTACTTCAGTTAGTCTTGTATGGCAAGAGTCCAAGGTAGTGCAGCTCAACAAATGCTGCAGAAAAGAGAGAGAGAGAGGGAAAAAAAAAAAAAAATCAGGGGTGTAATTCGGATGATATGGAATGGTCTGACCCTCCATTCCCAAATATTTTGGAATTAAATTTTTTTTTTTTTTTGCAAAATTTTTTTACACTAAAATTGATTTTTTTTGGCACCCTCCCGTAAAATGGCCTGTATTATTTTATTTCTAGTGTAATTGAAATTTAACAACATTAATAAAAATAAAATAAAAGAAAACAATGTTTTGCTCTTATTACAAGTGACAAATCTCAAATAAGCCATGGATCAAGCATTAATTTCTTTCTTTGCAACTTCCGAATTCCACTTCCCAATTTGATAATATTGAAAACCCAAATCAATAGCACTCAGTTACTATCACTAATCAACAATCTAAATCCATAAATTGAAGTTAGCTAACACTTTTTATGGCTTAATTTCACACGAGGCCCCTTAACTGTAGGCACTATTACAGCGCCATCCATCAAATTCAATTTGTAACAGTAAACTCCTTTAATTCCAATTTGTGTAACGAATAAATCATTTTTACTTGATTTAGGGTGAGAACACACCGGAAAACTAATGTGGCATGCCAACTTAGCTATTAATTTCATTTTTAATGCCACATAAGCCTTCAAAACTGTGAATCAAAGTTTTTCTCTTTCTTGCCCACATTGTTTTACTAAAAAACTACCTTATTCCCAAGGGACTCTCTTCTCTCCTATTCGACCTCTCACGCTTAGCAAGAGTCCACTTTGAAACTCTTTGCTTCTTCATCTCCATAGTTCACTCACCAAAACTCGTTTCCTATAAATATGGTAACCGGACATTAACAAAAGTAGTCACTGAACTTCTACTTATACTGCCGATAAAATGGAAAACAATCCATTGAAGGTGAAAGAATACTCCCAAAATTTCTGTTCAAGCGTATGTTACAGATTCAGCCTCTTCAGATGCATCATCTTATGCTCATCAAATTGAAACTTATTCTATACTAGGATTAAGGATTAACATCGTTACTTAGGGCAAGATCAAATCCAGACAGGCGCAATCTCGCCTTCTCGCAATAGGAAAAGCGAAGTCAATTCTACTTATGAAATTATATTATATTATTTTGTTTTGTTTGCCAGTGTACTCTTGATTGAAGATTTCAAAATGAAAAGTAGTTATTGTGTTTTGATAAATTCAATCACGCAGAGGAACAAGAACATTTGGCTGTTTTGATTTTGAGTTTGAAAGAAAACAAAGAAAAAGTTGAATAGAGGAACCGAGGAAGCATCAGTATCTTAAGAGGGAAACCGAGTGCCCTCTTCCATTAGACCACTAGCCCATAAACAAATTCCATAAACTCTCCACCTTTTTCCCCCTTTCTTGAGCTTACTAGCTATGACATTATTCAGTACTGTTTTAGTTTTTTGGTGAAACAATTGGGGTAGAAAAGAGAAAAATTTAGCTTTGATGGTTTACAGTTTTCAAGGTTTATGTGGCATTAACAATCAAATTAATAGCTAAGCTAGCGCGTCATTCAGCTTTTCGGTGTGTTTTCACCGGAAATCAAGTAAAAGGGATTTTCTTGTTACACAAATCAAAATTGGTGGATTTTATTGTTATAAATTGAATTCAAGGGATCGTACTGTAATAGTACCTACAGTTGAGGGACCTCGGATGAAATTAAACCCACTTTTTATACATCAATATCTCCCCAAGGAAAAAAATAAATTGATACATTAAGTATTGAATTGCTGTAATGAAGAGATAAAACAAAAAGCATGCTGGAAAAGAAAAAAAAAGGAATAATTATCCAAATAACTAATTATCATTTAATTAATACTTAACTATTTAATTTAATTAAACTTATATAAATTCCTTGATAAACCTCATTCAAGAATTTTGTTAATAATATTTAATTTTAACAATTTACATAATCATACTCCTAATTGCATGCCAAAACTATACTAAGAGGGTGTTTGGTTTGACTTTTAAATAAGTGAAACCTAATTTTAAATAGAAAGTTACGAGTAGAATTGTGTTTGATTTAGATTGTAAGTTAAAAAAAAATCTACTTAAAATAAGGCTAACGACAAAAAAAAAAAAAAAAAGTTTACGAGTAAATTGTGTTTGATTCTAGATTGTAAGTTAAAAAAAAAATTCTACTTTAAAAATAAGGCTAACGACAAAAAAAAAAAAAAAGCCTGGTTGTGAGCTTCTTCTTTATCAATGTCTAGGCTAGTTCTTTTAATTTTTATCAATTTTTATCAATCAATACCGCGTACTTAGTTTTCTATATCAATTTTAACCTCCGTTTGTCTTCTGTTAATTTCATGCTAATGTGGCAGTTATCTCTCAAAAGTAGGCCCTACAATATTCAATGTCAGCGCCAAATCATATATCCACATATTTTAAAGAAAAGCTTGAACTTTAACGTTTTTATTAAATATGATCAGTTTTTTTAATTTTATCAATCAATACCGTCCACTAATTAATCTCTATCAAATGATTTTGTTATATTGATATTTATTTAATTAAATAGTTTATTAATAAATAAATATCTTAAAATCCAATATTAACAATTGATATTTTTTTATAAAAAAATCTACTATATTGATGGTAAAATAATAGTACTACCGTTCCTAATTAAATTTTCTAGTTAGTTTTGAATATTATTATAAGGACGGATTCGGTGTAATCGGTAAAACCACTTCTGATCTAAAGGTTTTGTATTTAAGTAATTAAAATTGTGAAAGTGAGAAAAAAAAAATATATACATCAATTCTCTTATATACCACTAAATTCTCTTATAATAACCCACTAATGTGAGATAATTCCGTGTACGGCTCTTTTGGAAGTTTGCTATTGAGATTATAAATTCAATATTTTAATTTTAATTAATATCTATGAGAAAATACTATCATCTTTTGTTCATATATATCTTGTCATCATTTAGAATTCACGTTTCTTAATAAAAATTTTATATTTGTCTAAGTTAGCAATAATTATTGAGTAAATTTGACAATATTCAACCATTAATTTAATATTAATTCTCTAAGAAAATCATTAAATTAAAAGTAATAATTATTAGTTATATAGAAAAAGGGTAAACATGGAAAAAAATATTTATTACTCCTTGAAACCACAAATGTGATAAGTATTTTAAAACAAACTATTTTCTCAAATATAATAAGTATCATGGAATAGAAATAGTACTATGCAATTCGCATATAATTATGTTACATTGTAAAATTCAAATGTTACTTTTTTTCATTAAACGACTATAAAATATCAAAAATAGTATTAAAAATAATTGTTATAGAGTTGAATGGTTCAAATACATAATTATTATCACAAAATCATTTGATAGTGATTAATTAATACGCGGTATTAATTGATAAAATTAAAAGAACTGGCCAAATTTGATCAAAACGTTAAAGTTCAGACTTTTTTTTATTATACATGGATATATGACTTGGCGCTAACATTGGATGTTGTAGGGCCCACTTTTAAGAGAACTGCCACATTAGCATGAAATTGATGAAAAAAAAAACGGAAGCTAG